GCAACCTGGGCTGGTGGGAGGTGTCCCTGCCCATGGCAGGGGGTGGCACTGGATGGGCTTTAAGGCCTCTTCCAACCCAAACCATTCTATGGTTCTGTGGTTCCTTCAGTCTGTGGAATTTCACCCACACAGCTACTCAGACCTACACAGCATCAGAGTCAGGAATACAGCCATGACATACCTACTTACATAAACGTGCCTTAGTACATATGTAGAAATTTAAAACATTGCCTACAAATCTCTGTTTCTTTAATTTTGCTCTACTTTTGCATTTTTAATTAATATTTTGTTCTAAGTACAAGCACTCTACCATACAATAAAAAAAAAAAAAAAAAAAGAAATCAGTGTAGTAGTCACTGTTAAAGCAAACCATCCATGCCTCTCCATAAGTCTGGCTATGGGCAACGTGGCATTATCAGTTTTTGGCAAAGCTTTCCTAATTTTTGAAAGATCCTGACACGAACAATGGTGTTGGGACATGCAATAGTGTTGGGAATAGTATAGCACGAGGAAAACCTAAACGTGAGAAATTTGAATGCCACGTGAATGTTATATTTATTCTAATTGTAAGTTTAAAGTACAAACTTCAAACCAAACTAGTAAGAAAACATCCAAGCTTTCAGGAGAACATCCCAAGAAGCATACAAAATGCACAGGGGTGAAGAATTCAAGACTGCCTTTTATGAAGAACCAGCTTCGTGGGCAAGAGAAGAGCAGTGGATGCTGCTTGCCTGGACTTCAGCAAGGCTTCTGACACACTCTCATAGCTAAACTCACGAGATATGGTTTGAATAAGTGGACAGTAAGGGTGGGGGGAAAACTGGCTGGACCACCATGATTCGAGTGTTTTGAGGACTGGGATGAAGCCCAGCCAGCAGCTAAATGCTAGGAGTGTTTCTCAGAGGTTTTTAGTGTTTAACATGTTTATTACTGACCTTGACTACAGTACAGAGTGCACCGTCAGTAGGTGTGCAGATGATACCAGGTGAAGGGAAGCAGGTGACGTGCTCGAGGGCAGGGCTTCCATCCAAAGGGTCCTCAACAGGCTGACAGAAACCTCCCGACAGAAAAATGGGACAGCAGCATACTCTTGTGGCAAAAAGACAATTGCACCCAGGATCCATTGCCCAGACAGTGGCCAGCAGGGCAAAGGAAGTGATTATTCTCCTCTGTTCACCATCTGTGAGACCACATCTGGAGTGCTTAGTCTAGTTTGGGGCCCCCAGAACACGAAATATCTCAGAATGGATCAAGTCCAGCAGAGACGGCCAAAACTGTCCCAGGGCTGGAGCACAGGGACGTACAAGGGAAGACAAGGGAACTCTGGTCAGTCTTAAAAAGAGAGATCTCATTACCATCTTTATCCAGCGTAAGAGCAGAGGGATGACAGAGCCAGGCTTCCCGGAGGCATGCTGAGGCCAGAGTTAATGGGTACAACATGAAACAAGGGCAATTCTTATTAGGTGTTAGGAGAAATTTTTCACCATGAGGGTGATCAAACACTGAACCAGGGGCCCGGAGAAGCTGGGGGACTCCAGCCCTGGAGATCTTGAAGGCTTGACTTGTCAAGGCCCCTGCCACCTGGGCCCTGGGTTGGACCAGAGAGCTCCACACACCCAGACGGAACTGCTCTGTGGTGATAGTGATGGCCCTCAAAGCAGCATTCACTAACAGAAACAGCTCAGAACAGAGGTATTATATTTTAAAAAAATATTTTATACAGAAAAGTTATTTGGTCTGATTTACTGTATAATTACACCCATTTTTCTCTGCATGTGTTTTCAGAAAGTCAGGGATGACTTAAGAAAATATGAATAAAACTTGCATACATTTTGTCAGTGCTGACAAAACAGATTAAGACACATTGCATCTTTGCTTTTCGTGAAACAATTATGGTGAAGCTTTGATGTCCTTTAACCTTGACAATGTGGTTTAGATGTAAGAAAGAGACCAACAGCCACTGAAGTGTAAAAACTGTGTCAGTGCCGATTACAGCTTCTGCCTCGTCAACCTTGCCAGACATGGTCAGAGTTACTGCAGGTACCTTGTTCTTCCCTAGAAGAACTCAGCAGGGTGGAGTGACGTACCATGTTGTAACCTCTCACATTCGGTGGAGTCATTAGAAGGTGTTTTCAGCGTGCCAGGGACAGCCAATTACGAGTTCTCCTCTAACTGATGAGAAAGTTCAGTGTCTCCACCTATGACTGGTTAAGACAGACCAGAGAAAGCTGGCTGGAAATCAATCCAGACAATGCCTGAAACTTTGAGCTGGGAGAGCTGAATGAGATAACAGGCAGTCCCAGTCCTGTGGCTGCGAGAGCATTACCTGCAACATACCACCATTAGGCTGACATTTGGCTGTTATAGAAATAGCAAAATCCAAGAGTTTATCGCTTGTTGTCAATTCATAGTTGGATTCCTTCCTTCCTGATGCAGATCTTCCCGCATTTTCCAAGACTGCTTGCAGACTCTGCAGCTCTGCGACATGCTGTACGCAGGACTGCTCTGAAGCACTCGTGGAGAGAGCTCGTGTGCTACCGTGGCACACATCAGCATGATTTCTGAGCAGAGCGCAACACAGAACGCAGCACCACGCACCCTGCCTGTGCCGGACAGCCACCATCAGAGCTAAGCACAGTGTGCAGTGATGGCTGCGATGTAAAAAGTCACAGTTCTGGGTCCTGCCTGCTGAAGGGATGTCCTCTCTGTGCAATACACAGTAGAGAGCAGAGCTGGGTGAGCTGGGCTGTCTCGTTCCCGTGAGGGACAGTAGGCAGACCTATCTCTGGAAAGGTTCTGCGACAGCTTGCTTCTGAAACCAAGCGGTTGATACCGTTTTGCTTATGATTTTTGGCACGCACTTTGGCAGGGCTTGAAGGAGAAGACCGAAGACTCACTTGATGACTAACGAATTTGCTCTGTAAATTATTTTAAGGGCGCCAGATGTTGGTTAAGCATCTACAACTTTGAAGATGCTTGGGAACCTGAACAGACTGCTGGTATCAATACACTTCCACAAAAGGAACTTAAGTCACAAATCCTTCCAGTGCCCGAGTTGGTGGTGAGGAGGAAATTCCTCAATACGAAGCACAATTCTATATTTTTAACCATTCCCTTGCCTCCTGACTTCCTTCAGCTCTCTATACCTGAACTCTCCGCAAAGTCTCTTCTCTCTGTGGCAGGTATGTACTTTACCCTCGCCTGGGAGCATAGACTCTGAAAGAAGTCAAGAACACCGTTGTTCTGTGACAAAAGTGGAGAAGCTTATCTCAGCTCTGAAAGTCTATTTACAGCCTGCCATTAATACACTTTACTAGCAAGGAGTACAACTACAATGTCTCTTTTCTCTTCCTCGATTAGTCTAGTTATTCAGGAAACTCTGGCAGCTTAGCAACAGATTCTGACGACCTAGAAAACATCAACATGCTAAAAAGCAATGTGTGTGAAACATAGAAGAGCTAAACTGGGGGAAGAAACAATGTGGTGAACAACTGAAGTCTTCAGGTACTGTCAACGGATCCATGTCTACACACACAGTCTTGTATGTGCCTTCCACTAGAAAGGCATACCTCCTGCCCAGAACTGTTAGTAAACAAAATTCTCATCTCCCAAAGGGTTTCCATCCATGTTTGTTTGACTGCCCTCCTCTTATCCTTTCATTCTTAGGAGCAATTTGGTTTTTAATTAAAGCTTTCACAGAAAACAAACCAAAAAGCCTCAAAACACAACCACCTTTTAAAACATCCAGCACATTCCTGCATCATTTCATGGGATGCATTTGATGTACACATGATACAAAATTATTTCCAATTCCTATTACACCCTGCAAGAGTTTTAATATCCCTCTTGATGACTTTGCTCCATGATAGATACAGTTCTTGTAATTAATGTATTTTTGTAAAAAATTGATACTTTGATCCATTAAAGAATGATTTATGGGTGGGGTTTTTTC